AGTTATACATCAGCTTATGATGATGTTAATTTATTAATTGTACCCTCAACTCCGCCAGTGTAATAAGAAGTTCTGTTTTTTTTTCTTTTTCTCCCTTTTCGTTTGTCTTTCTGCATATAATAATCTCTGTTTTTGTTGTTGTTTATATTCAATTTGTCTACAAGATTTTTTTGTACTTTGTGCATAGAGCTTAAATATATATTTCATATTCCATTTGTCAATGATGTCATCATTTTGAGACATATATAAATCTCCTATAATATATTTTCGTTTCTTATTGATTCAATCTAATCTATATATACATCACACTGAATGGTGGAATTGTTGTTGTTATAACAACAGGATGATATGAATCACCTAAATGTTTACTTGTTAATTGTTTCAGTCATTTACGTAGTTTATATTAATACTGAAAGAAAGATTTGTAAGTTTTATATTATAACATTAGAGTATATATGAATTAATATATCTTATTATAGGTACCTATTGGTTCAGCATCATATCCTCGTACAGATGTCGAACATGACAAATGTTTGTCAGCTATACGATTTTTATCTCTATCAACATATCCTCTTTTAGACAATCAAAATGCAAAAGATTATTCATGATCTGAAACAATTATTAATTGATTTTGATACAAAAATGAAACCTATTGCTGCGATTTATCATGTTTGTTGTTGGCTAAGGAAATTTTCATTAGAAGAACAAAGTGCTATGTAAAATAATTTGTTGCAAGTCATATATTACGCGATAAGTAATTATTTTATATGAGTGAATAAATGAAGATTATGATATAAATTAATTCTTTTCTGATTAATAATAAAGTATCATGTGAATAAACACAAATAGACTCTATTGAATACAAATTTTCGTCAAATTGATATTTGTAATTTAATTATTAAAGAAATTCTAATTAAAGTAAGACGTTAATTTATATCAATTTCAATGTTATTCTTAATCAAATAAACATTTTAAGGAATTCTTTCAATTCATATCGAATACTAAAGAATTTTACTTACAAAACAATCTTTCAAATGCAAAGTTGTCGATATTTTTTACTAACGTGTCCCAACTCCGTTTACAATGGATGACTTGTCACGAGATCGTTACTCTCTCAATCCTATCCATCTAACATAATTTGTTAGTGAGAAGACAATCATTGTTTGACTGTAATGAGTACAACTTCAAAAAAACCATTCGATTAATTTTCATCAATGTTCTTTGATCTATAAGTAATTAAGAATGTACATTAAACTTGTTTCTTTTTTTTTTAAATAAAAAATCTCAAAGGAAATCATTCATCACCTACATTGTAATTTCATGCAATTTATGTACAGTTGTTTCGAAAACTATTTGAATTGATTTACTGTCGATTTTTGCTGCTGTTGTAAAAGTGTCCAGAGCAATCGAAATAGTGATTTGAAAAGGAAGTCTTTAATTCCAACAACATTATTTTGCATAGAAAAATCAGTATTGCGGCTTCCATAGATTTGTTGTATTTCGGTCATAAAAACTATTGTGACAAACTGAAAGATATTTCATTTAGTAGAGAATTCTTTACTCATTTTAATCAACTAATCAAAACACCGTAGACGCAATATTACAATTAATTTGTTATAAATTAGAAACAAAAAAGAACTAGTCTAAGACTAAAATACGATCTTTTTATCTTTGGTTTATATTTATACATATAATTGGCACATTTTTAGAAAATGATTGTGACATACACAATATATCATGTAATGACAGAATCAAGAGAGAGAAAGAAAAGCAAAACAATCGGTTTATTTAAGTTATAGTTTGATTATGTCGTACTTGTTGGATGTGTTCGTATTCTGAAAAAACCTCTTGGACGTGATGCAATTATTATTTGACATTTATCAATAATTGTAACAATGAATGTAATCAAAAATACAATAATACCCGGTGTTGCTATTAAAGCTGGGATGAGTGTACGCCAAATAAATTCATGACGCGCACCAACAATATCTGGTGCAGATTTTAATGGTCGTTGTTCATTATCCATAGGATCAACATAACATTGATAGGAATTATTCACCTGATATCAGGAAAAAAAACAGATAGTAAAGATAAGACAAAAAAATAACAAACAAAACGAAAACTACGAACCACTGTATTATAAAGTGATATAGGTACGGTTGATTCTTCAAAAGTTCTTTTTGTATTATTTAATGGATGTATGATTGATATAATAAATTTACTTTCAATTATGGTCCATGATGAATTATCATTTGAATTTGTTATTTCACGTACTATTATTTTATCAATATGACATTGAATAATAAATGAAAATGTTGCGTGTTGAAGTTTTATTTCTTGATATTTAGAATATAATGGTAAATTACTTATTGAAATCATTGAACATAGTATTGTTGTTAATAGACAAATAAATATTATACCAACAAGCATTTCTTCTGATTTTAAATGTGATGATCCCATCATTGATAATCAATTATTAATGAATGAATGCAAGAATTGACCGATAAAACATAGATAGATACTGGACAGCGGTCAAAAATGACAACGAATCGAATAACATCATTGATATTGTTCATCATCGCTAGAGGTCACAAGCTCTCTAGATTATGTTGTAGTAGGCGTCATAAACAGAGCGAAGGTTATCATTTTTTTTCTTTATCGGTACCACTTGATTTGGTTCTTAGTGTCAGATATCGATGAGGTCAACTTTCAGCAACATATCTCAGTGAATAATATAGGTGAAGTAAATCTAATCAAATTATTTAAGACCTTCCTTTTCGAAAATTGATCTTGGCGTAAATAAATTTAAGTCTTATGATATTTTCAGAATTTATTGAGGCTATAGTAGAGAGATTACGCGGTAAAATTTTCAGCTCTATATCATGATGTTTCTGAGAGATTTTCAACTAACAAGACTCGAAAATAGCTCATTTGGCAACCCGAAATTTTCGTTACGTCTTTATTCTATATACTACATTTTTATTCTTTAGAGAAGCACTAACTTTTCAAGCAGAAAATGACGATAATTTTGAACAGAATGAGGTGTCAAATAAGCATTCATATCATTTATGAAAGGCCAGGCCTCTAACTATCTTCCGATGTATTTATCTCAATTTTCATGTTTATAACGAAGATTTGATTTTTTTTTTGAGGAGACGAGAGCTTAATTAATGTATGACTATTATACATATAGTAGTTTAGATAAATTATTGAGTTTAAGCAAGATGATATCTGGGATTTGAAACTTGATAAATGTTTAGACAAAGTATGTTAGTTACTTTTTTGAAATAGTACTTTTATCTAAATGCGACTCTGAATTGTGTTAGGCAATGTAAATTCATCGAAATTTTTTCCGGACAGAAACGAAATGTATTTTTTGTGAAACAACTTAATAACAATCTTGTATGTATTACAACATAGTATTTATTGGTCTCAGTCCATTTTTCTAAACGTATTTGAAATAAAACGAACAAATTTAAGAATTGATATTTACATGCGTGTGATAAAAGCAGATTTGAAGGTCTACTTACTTATTATATACTCTCCTCAAGTCTTGTAAAAAAATGACTTTCGAATTTCGACTTCAAATGTTACACGGACAACATTCTTATGAACGTAGTTGATTGAACTAGTTGTACTTTCTCTAGCATTTTCTATCCGACAAACATAAATGTATGAATAGAATTTGCTTTTCCACATGAGAGAATATTGAATATCTGAGGATAAGAGATACTACAAAAAAATATTGTCGAATGAACTAATTCCACTGAGAGCTTGGTTCATGCAATGTTTGAATTCAAAAGTCGATTTTTCACGTGACTTGAGAGGAACCATAGTTTTGTGTTGAAATACCCAGTAAAATCTCAATATTTCAAGAATGAAGACCCAGAAAACCAGACTATTCTAGACCGTTCTATGACTCACTAATACTCATCAAATCAACATTGTCTCGACTGAAAACCATGATTAGGCATCTGGGAAAATTTTTTCGTATGGTTTCTGAAAAGCGGGTTCTGTTCTTTCCAATATATTTGTATCCGCTTCATTTATGGTTACATAAGCAAAAAAGAAACTTTCACAAACCCATCCAATAGAATAAACGGGCTAGTCAATAACATGCTCATACGAGAAGAGCTGATTATGATTAGTTTCATGTAGCATTTCCAAATTATTCATTGATTTGTAAGCTGCTACACAACTAATCAAAACAGTATTCGACAAATATATGCTCATTTGAACCATCGAGATGAAATCTGTATTATGCTCTAATTTTCTTTTGAAAGCTTAACAAATTTGTTACACTATAATTGACCTGATATTTGAATAATTTTGCAATTCATGGTTTAAGTGACTTGATCAATCAATGTTCTATTCAAAGTTTTCAACAAGTCAATTTAACATCATCTTTACCAAAAACTTTAATAACATGTCATGTAACATTAACAAATAATAACTCACATTTAACAAGTCGTTTAAAATCATCTCATCTTGAATATATTCAACATAATTAACATCTTACTATTTTTAGTGGACCAATACTATTTACTGAATCATCTAAAATGATTATTTTATTAGCAACAAATGATCTGCGACAAATTACAAATTTTATTGAACTGGAACCCTATACAGCATCAAAAAATGTTTGGATATTGCTCATATAAAACCTTTTAAACAATTATTACCTGGTGCTAATAATCAACAGCTATTAAATAATTATTACAAAAAAGAAGTATTCGAAACATACAATGAACACTCTCGCAAATCCTATCTTTTGTTTCTTTTTCTAATGCAAGCATTGTATTCGAATTAATAAATCAAATTTAATCTAAGTTATTTTTGTCTGTTTTATGTGTTATACTTTTAATACACTAATAGATATTATGTTTACTTGATTCAAATAAAATATGTATGAGATATTCAAGGGCAATTCATTGATGTGTATCATTTATGTTATTATGTATATCATGCAATATGATATTTTTATTTCTATTCAATAAAGAATGTTTTCGTCAGGTGTAACTTTATCTATTCTAGAAATTCCATCACGTTCATCAACTGATACCGTTGATGTTTTATTAACAAGTGATGAACATGAACGTGGTTGGCCACAAGGATTATTGGTTAAAAATCTTGTTGCTACACATGATGGTCATTTATTTGTTACAATTTATTCAACAAAAGACGTTGATGAAGTTGATCCTAGTTTATCAAAATCTACTAAAAGATTGTTAGTTATAATTCCATTTAGCCCAACAGGTACCGTGAAATTTCACTTTTACGATTTTTATGTAAATGTTTGCTCACTTGGTCAATGTAATACCTAATATATCATTTAAACAAATAGTTAATATTGATTCAACTTTCTCTTTAAATGGATTTTATGTATTATCATATGAAAATGAGATATTATTATCTGTTGATTTAATGCTTGAACAAATATTTAAAATTAATATTCATACAAAACAAGTTGAATTATGGTATGAAAATGATTTATTGAAAAACCATTCACATGATATACTTATACCTGATATTAATAGTAGACGTTGATGTTCACTTGATAATTATTTTTATTTAACACATACTCATCGTGCTATCATTCTTCGTTTAACAACTGATTCATTCAATTATCGATCAAAAAAGCAATAAGAGACAAGTATTCATAATATGGTTTGTGATGATTTTACTATGCCTCGTATGGAGTACAATTTATGTAACAACACATGTACATAACTTTCATAAACGTTTAAGAACGATAAAAGATGGATAACTTAGCTATTGAAGGGTGTTGAGAAAACAAAAAATGATCAAATCATTTTTATTTTCGATCAACGAAACATAGACTCTCATTACCCTACTCGTAGTTGTTTACAAAGAGTAATAATTATAGATTTAACAGTTTATAGAGTTCGTTAAACTAATGTCGGTGCGGAACTTAAAGATACTCGGTGATAATTTGAATAAAACAAGAAGGCAACTAACGATAAGCGATTTTTAATACTCAAAAGAGAAAATATGAGTACGTCTATGGAATTCTGTTGACTTTTAAGCAAGTTTTTTTCCTTTTGATATCAAAGTTTCATCGAAATGACAGATCATTTTCATACATTCTTTTGAATGTTTTTTGGAAATCATTGGCTTTATAAATAATTTTGTACTATATATATTATTAGTTAAAAAGATGTTCCTATGTGTTCTCTTTCGACTATTTGAAAACCCCAGATCGATAGCTATTTGCATTCTCGACTTATTCTATTTTTAACTCAATATCTTAAAGTTTCGCGCCAACATTAATGGTTATTAATCTTCCGTTTTAATGTAAGAAACAGTATCGATACTGAGGCACTTGTTAAAGATCCGTCATCCATTGTTTAGTGTTGTTGAATAGCCGGAATCCTTGATTCAACGACTAAATCAAGAAAAACAGAAATTCATTTTTCATTAAGTACTGTAGATAGAAACATTCGTAGTGGGAATAATTACATTCTAGATATCAAATATTTCTTTTCAATTATTGATTTATTTTTATCTCCGAAGATATTTTTCAGAAGATGTTATGTCAGACAAAATGGTTTTAATTGCATTCAGCGATAGATTATGGTGTTGTAGAATAAAGACTGAATGTTAAGTCTAGATAAAATATTTATTTAAAAAAGATTAATTACAATGAAAGAAGTTGAATTAATCAAATGACAAATAAGGAGAAGAAATATGAAAACTTACATGAGTAAAATTGTTCGCTTGTTGAAATATTGGCGATCTCAAAGTAAGGAAAACGTCATCTTCAAATGTATTTATCGTGTGCTATTTTTCTCTATGCGTATGTATAGGTTGATGAACACAAAGCATGCATACCAGCTAAACTTAGTTTTGTGAAAATTGTTCATATACAGATTATTTCCGTATATACTAGATGTCGATAAAACCTTGGATATCCATTATTTATCTTTGTTTGGATACAGGATGTATTAAGTCATATATCATGAACGAACTAGGACTTTATCATCGACCACAATTAATGACACAAATATATTCACTTAAGACTGATTCACTAGATAAAGTTCTATAAATATAAGTCTTTGTATCAGTATAGAAATCAAACGAACAAGATAAATACAAAGTCACATAGCTTACGAAGAGACGATTTTAACTGTTCAATCGGTTTTTCTTCAATATATATTAAGTTGTATGTGATTGACTACAGTGATTTTGCATATCAGGATCTTGGCTGTTGACTTCTTTTTAACAAGTCAAGTCTTTTCATCAAATATGGTTTTTAATATCTATCTTTAATGCATAATTTTATGAAATATTAACAGGCATATTTTGTTACGGCTACTCCTATGCTAAATTTCAATAATTCAAATGTAAGCAATAAAATATGTCATTCGTTGAATGAGAACAATCATTTGATTTGTATATCTTCTTGTTTCTTTCTCAAATACTCCAACAATTGCTTTTGTGTTTCGAAATTCGACTCTTCACTTCGCAACTGGTATGAATATAATAAATCTAATAATAAGAACAAATATGGTTATCATATACAACATGATTGTTCGAGTTGGAAAAATTTTATATATCGAGTACATCAAACTCATATGCCATCAATAAATACTTCCGACTTGTCGAATAAACGGATTACGTAGGTTCACAAAATTATTTTTGAAAAATATTTAAAGAAATTAAAATGTATTGTACTTAAAAAGCACTTGGATAAAGATTATACTTAGCATAGACCTGTTATTTAGAATATCATAAATTGAATTAGAAAATTAAAAAGAAAATGTTCATACCAATTATTGGAAGCAAAACAAATGTTCTATTTTCAGAAAAAAGAGTGATAAATTATTTTTGTTTCTATTGCAAATAAATGTTATCATTCTTAGGTTTAATTGAATAACTATGAAGTATTTTTTTCAAAATTGATCATTGTGTATGACTTTTGTATTATATCATCATTTACCTTCCTTATATCAGGATATTGCGGACAGGGGTCTAGACTCAGATATCTGTGTTCCTCCAAAGTACTTCTGGTGAGCAACTTCAATTTGAATTCATCTATGATGACATTTTATACCAGGTGTTCACAACGAAGATCTGATTGAATTCGATCACCTTTTCGATTCTAATTGTTCGCGTTGCATTTTCCCATTGAATCTACAATAAAAATATCAGTATGCTCGGCCGATAAGTAACAAGATAGTGGTAATGACAAATATGAAACCGACATAGAATCAAATTTAAGTAAAAATCATGCAAGTTTGATAATCATGCCGGAAAACACCATAGGAACAGTAACATTGGAATAAATAAACTACATCGTAGCCTACATGAAATTCAATTGGTTCACAAAACCTGAAATTCTGTTGAGTAAAAGCAAGATATTCGGCAGTAATCTGAATATTTTTAGCTTTTTGATGATTGAATATCATAACTTCTTGTGTCATACTGAAACTATCTTTCGAGTGAAATATTTATCAAAATTTGAAACTGCTAAAAATAGGACCATTTGCTTCTAGGATGTGAGGAAGGATTTAGATAAGACCCACACCCACACTCACATTCATTCCTTACTTTAAAAAACATCATGTAATTAATTTTAGATGTCAAAGACGTTTACTCAACCAGAACAATTTCTTTGACTCATTCATCTTTTCTTCTTGGAGATAAATTTACAATCATGTGCATCATTATATAGAGATATATTATATAAATCGTGTTAAGATTTCCTGTGCATCCTCTATATGTCTATTTGATATAAATGTTGTTCATTGGTACTGTTAGGTCGCAACTTTTAGATCATTCATCAGATACTTTTTCAGACCTGATGTGTTCGACGAATGCTTCATTACCGTATCAAACGATATTTTTTTTAAATCGAATAGAATGCTCATTTTGTACAGAATACAGTAATATTGTGATATACTTTTTTTACGACCGATTAATATGACATGAAGAAAAGAGGTGTAATTACGCCCCACTAATGGAAGAAAGAAAGCGAAAACATTCTCTTATTTTTTACGATTTTTATACTTATTTTGAAGGTAAATGGCTCGATTTATGCGCTGTCCTAAAATTATTTTAATTATACGATATAGTCATCATTATATAGAAGAGACCTGCAGTAAATTGACGACAGCACAAAACACAGAAAGAAAGGTCTGAACGCATAAATCGAGCCATTTACTTTCAAAACAAGCATGTAAATGCTTGGTTTTTATATGTTTGTGCTTGTTTTGAAGATAAGTGCTTCGATTTATGCATTCATACGTTTCTTTCTGTATTTTGTGCTGTCGTCATCTTGCTACAGTTCTCTTCTGTACACTTATGACTATATCGTACAAATTAAAATAATTTTAGGATGCTAGACATTTCGATTTTCTTTTAGATAAATAAATAATTAACATAGATTTATGTTCAAAAGCACTACCGGCAGCTTCAGCATAGGTCAATTTGATAGCTTTTCGCTCAATGAGAGCCTAAGTGAAGAAATTGATCTCAAGAAAATTGATTTCTTCTTACTCAAATTGTTACACAAAGTGTTAGAAAATAATCTCTGGTAGGCTTATTCATATAATATACGCTTCACCTCTGCAGTGTTCGTTTCAAAAGTCAATGTATAGAATCACAACATTGATAACAACCACCTAAATTAATATTCAAAGAGGAAAAAACAGTGGTTGCGCAAAGAATTGCGAAAGATACTGTTCTCTGGTAAATCTATTTCGATACTTGGAATCAAATTCTAGAGTCATAAAATGGTGTTAAAGATGAAGAAGGCACAAAAACATGTCTAGAGTATGGAATTCTTCGGAATTTTTTTTATATAGCCGATGTTTTTTCTCAATATTTTCATACCATTTTTGTAAGCTTCAAAATGGCCTTCATTCAAGCATATAAAAACTAGCTTCATCGATTATTGCCTTTAAGCATTCAATTAGATATTTATCATCAATAGTCTGATTTTATAGTAGTGACTATTTCAATCTGTCTGTTCACAACAGAAGCATGTGCTATATGAATAATTCCATCAGAGATTACTTTTCAATCCCTTGTATGACAATTTGAGTCAGAAGAAATCAATTTTTTCAAAGGAAACAACTTCTCCACATGTCGACTCTTCTGCTTTGCTAAGAAAGCCAGTTTCCAGAAGAGTCTCGGTGGCGTCAAAAGACTAACATTTCAACATATTTTCTACCAATTCAAAAAGATTTCACCGTAATTCTACAAAACTAACGAGTGAAACACAATGGAACTGTTTCTCATAAAAATGAAAATAGTTGTTATTTTTATCAGAAACTGTTAGAAGGTTCCGGGGACACCAGCGTAAATTGTCTGTGACTATCTCTAATCAGAACTAATACACTGTATCACGAGAAAGAAAAATAATTGATTTCAAGATTTTCAATCCATAGAAAGCCGAAAACCTTAGAATTCAAACAATTTGACATCCAAATAACCGTAAAATACTAGTCTAAAAGCCGAATATTTCATTGTTTCAAAATGCATTATATTATAGTCGGAAAACCCATAATACCATGTCGACATATCTGTTACGATTTGTGAGGTAGAGTAGAGGTTCAATTTTCTTGCTATATACTTCAACACTCATTTGCAATCGTATTTCACAAAATGGTACTTTTTCAACGCAGACCCCGACACTCTATGTCCAATGTTTAGAAATACACGAATCGGTAATTCTACATAGGTCGTGCTTGAAAAACGTACTTCGAACAGACCGATATGCAAACACAGTCGAATTAATCACTACCATGGTCATACAGGTCATTCACTTTCAGCCTAGGAATATACAGAGGTATTGTGGAGTTCTTAAATCAGGTTCGATTCACAACGTCATCGAGATTACACAGTCTCTGCTGTTTTCCTTTCGGTACTGTATTGCTAATATTCCAGTGTCGTTAACTATTCATTGATTGGCTCATTTTTTGTCTCTAAACAAACAGACCTTATTATAGTCAATATCTCATCTGTTGATCAGTTTTTTTTTCATTTCAGACACTTTTGATTTACCGTTTGTAAATTAATCCAGTGCCTAAAACTGTTATGATGCAACAGGGAGCAACAAGGCATTCAAATATCATCGAGTAAGTCCTCGCTTATTTGATTCCTTGGTTTATCTGTAGTCAATTTCAGCATTTCTGGAAGTTACGTATAGTAGATAGAAGAGTGCATAATTATTTCTGCTCAAAAGCAAAGGACGATTATGACCTACTTTCAGCTATTACTTAAAAGTATAACCTCAACGGCCTATCGAATGAGTTTGAATGGTTTTAAGTTTTGAACAAGGTTCCCTTGAAGTACTCGTTTCAGAAAATCGATTTGTGTTTTGCTAAAAGAATCACTTTTGAAGCAAACTTATTTGATTATCTCAAAGAGCAATCTTCTCTTAAATATGGTTTGATTCATCAAATAAAAGTGATCGTCCATTGTTGTGATCACTAATTCATTCATATGAATATGCGAGTCGGTTTCAGTCTTCAGTTGTACGACGTCTCTCTATCACTTGACAATTTTTATGTGAAATTTGAATTACATTTCTCCAAATTGAATTTTATACGACTATTATAGCTTCATTTACGATTTCGGGCACTTTTTGAGAGATAAGGACGACTAAAATAAAATAATCTAATCACAACGTCTCGAGAAATAACTATGAAATAAAGCATTTCTCGCTAATTCGTTTCGTATATAGTTTTCTAGTAGTAGCTACAAAAACAGACATCAATTATTAGAACCCATTATTCTAATAAATTACCAAAACGATATTTTTATGAAATCAAGTTAGTCATTTAAGATACAAAAATGAATTATTAAGAGACTGCTTCAGGGTCTGTAAAACCTAACGTGTGTTGGAATTCGAATACGATTCATAAAGAAATCAGACTGAATTCGAAATCTGGTACGACAACCATGAAATTCAAAGTCTTGATAAAATTCATTTCAACTTCGACAAGATTTCAGACAGAGTTTATAGTTTTAGGCAAGTATGGATCATTACAGGAATCGTGATGATTTGTGTCCATAAAATTCATCCATTACCAACGGCAACAAGCATCGACAGCGGTAATGCTATGAACGTTGTCAATATATTTTTGCTAATAAATCTATTTGAATTCTATTCTCATAGATGCAGATTCAGTGTCGGTTTCACTATCAACGATCACTTCTAACAACGGCTTCGACAGTGAAGCTCATGCAACTCAATCGGGATCGAGCGTACGTCTTTTCTTTGATTATGTATGTCTTACAATCACTTTTCTTATACTTTAGACTAATGAAGTATTTGACCAATCTGAACTATTAACAAGTTTTTCCAAAGGAAAGAGGTAAGTAAATGCCGAGTTTCTTTTGAATCGTTGTCATCCCTGATATTCGAACATTTATCTAGACGATTGTCTCGAGCAATTTGTTTCACTTTCCCATGGCTTACCAAAAATTGTAAAGGTAATTTGCCACTTTTGGTTCTTCACATAGCGGAAGAATGCTTCTCTTACGGAGAAGCAACGTATTTGTACATTTTACAAAACTGTCTTCATTACTAAATAGGAAAAACGCTGTATATTTATACTAGAAATCGGCAAAAATAGCAATAAAACACAATCGCTCATTCCATTTGAATAAAATTTTCCTTTCCAGTTACTCTTTCGTCTAAATTACTCAATAAACTAACTTCGATAGCTTCAAAGATTTTCTACTGAAAATTTTGAAGTGTCCTCCGTTTGTCTTTTTATCATGTATCATCTATTTCATTCATTGTGCTCAAATTTGTTTTAATGACAGTTATATTTCCTCTTGACTAAAACAATGTTGAGTCAGCTATACTGGAGACAAATTTCTCAGAATTTATCTTTTTGCCGTAAGCCAAGAGAAGTTCAACAGTTTATAGCAAAAAAAACACGGATTGGTCAATGTCAAAAAACCAAAAATATATTGTGGATTCATCTTTGATCGATTTGTTTTGAACTACTACAGAATCAGCAACAACAACCACAAGGGCAACCACAACCACACGATTGACAACAACGACTATCAGAACGACGGTAACGACATCAACATGTAAGTGTCATTTGTATGCATTCGACTCTTTTCGTTCGTCATTTATAAATTACTAAATCGATGATTAGTAGACCGTTTGTGAATTAACTACTAAACATCGATCTAATTTATATCTTACGATCTCTTAGTGACTGACTGACTAATGCGAATTAGATCAGAATAACAGCTGGAAACATGTAGAAATTACTTGAGAATGTAAAGCTCGCTAATGCGGAGAAAGAAGACTAAATTCTGGTTCTCGTATGAAGTTTCATTTATTATGCATGTTAGTTGTGGAAAGTAAAAGAAAACTGAGAATTTAATGCATGTTTAACTGAAAGCATTTTCGAAAATTCAAAATACCTTTTAGTCTTTGGCTTATCACAGCCAAAACTCGACAGAAATGAGAGAGATTAAAGTTGCGTTATTGTGAACAGAGTATTACTGGTCATAGAGTATGATTAAGTTCTGTCTGAAACGTACATTTATTATTTTATTTTGAGTTCCAATAGATTTCAGTAAATGATAAGCTAAAAATATATTTGCTCACAAACTACACTTTGAAATATACTTCAAAAGCCTAGACACTACTATGAAGAGAGTCATAATATGGTTTCTTTTGTTTGAAAACTACGCATTTGAATTTGAGTTTTAAAGAAAACTACTGTCTCTGCGGTGATGTGCGGACGCAAATAAGACTTTTCAATGAATGCAATTAATATCCACCAACTTAATTGTAACAAGTTCTATTGCGCATCACATAGTGAAGAATTGTTAAAAATAGAAAAAATTCAACTGAAAAAGGCCATCGCACATGCAGAACTATTCGGATAGAATGTCGCCAGTTTGTTGCAACTCTTTTATCACTTCAACATCATTATCATCATTTTTGTTGAAGATATCATAGATGTTCGATACCGATGCTTCAAAACTTTCACCTTTTCATGGTTACCATGTTTAAGCTGTAATATCATTTTCGAATAGTCCTTACTAAGCTAAAATATTTTTTCGACTTACTGTTCAAGTTCGTTGATATCGATGTCATTTTTAGCTACAACATCAACCCAATCAACGGGAAAATACACTGGTATCACTGGTAGCGGACAATCGTTTAATAACATGCAATCATCTGTGGTACTTATGCAAATAGTACACACAAATTTCACACTTTCTTGGTGTGTGATTCGTACATTTGCTTTCGATTTCGCTCCAGGAAGTACTCCGATAGCAGACGGAAGATTGCTTTCGATTTCACTCAATAGAACATTATTCTCTATCATTGGTACAACTTATGGAGGTGATGGTACATCGAACTTTGCTCTTCCTAATTTGCAAGGAATCGCCATGATTGGTAGTGATCTATCTTCTTATACTCTCGGTTCACAGACTGGAAGCCAACAGATTACACTGACTATAAATCAAATGCCAGCACATATACACTCAATTCCCAGTTCAACTCAATCCACAGGTGTTACGGGTGCATCGCAATCCTTCAACAATCTTCAGCTATCATTGCCAGTGAACTACATCATCTGTACATCCGGATACTTTCCATCACCTGATTCTACTGTACAATACCCCTTCCTTGGACAAATTGTTGCTCTTATTGGAAACTCAATCCCGAACGGGTGGACACTTGCCAATGGAAACTTACTTTCCATTGCACAGAATACCGCACTATTTGCTGTAATTGGCACTACTTATGGAGGTGATGGTCGATCCAATTTTGCTCTACCAGATTTACGAGGCCGTGTTGGCGTCGGTGTAGCTACAGGATCTAACTTACAGCTCGGTGGTAAGAGCGGAACAGAATCTATTACTTTGCTCAGTACCAATTTACCCTCACATCAACACAGTCTGCTTAGTAATACATATGGTAATAATCAGACTAGTAGTACAGGTGATGGACAGTCATTCGAAAATGTACAACCGTCTTTGGGCATTAATTATATGGTATCACTGTCAGGAGTATATCCTTCTCGGGATGGTGGCACAATAGACTCTCAAACACCCGTATTGGGAGAGATCGTTGGATTTGCCGGCAACTATGTACCACAGGGTTGGTCTAGAGCTGATGGCAGTCTACTGTCGATTTCATCCAATATAGCTCTATTTTCTTTGCTCCAGACATATTATGGAGGCGACGGTAAAAGCAGTTTCGCTCTACCTGACCTACGTGATCGGGTGATTGTTGGCTCTGGAGAAGGCTTCACTCTGGGTGCAGTAGTCGGCTCGTCTGAGATCACACTTGCAACAGATCAATTGCTAGCTCATGCGCATAGTCTTCCCAATTGACTAATGTTATCGATATAACGACTGCTTCTACCAGAAACTTGCACTTGTTTCACTAATAATCTATTAATCGTATCTAATTTGATATTTTTAACCTAATTTTTAACCTAACAGTAATCTATAAAAGTATAATATCATTCTTTCATCAAAACGTCCTAGTTAGGATTTTTAAAGAATCGACTCTATCGATAATCAAGATTGCAAATGGCGAATGAAACTATTTGATTGAGTATAAGTTCATAATATTAAATTCCTATGTATTACTAGCTCCTATAAATTCCTTATCTTAAAGACTGCATGAACTGTAGCTGTACTCTTTGTCTTGCAATATGTCTACTTGATTATATCCTTTGTTTCTGCAAAACATATAGTAGAAATGATACGGAACGATAAGAAACGTACAATAAATTACCATGAATCATAATATTTCCATTTTTATATCGATAAAACTGGGTTTGCCAAAAGTTTTGCGACATTTGGTGTTTTCATATAACTCAATTCAGACGAAAGATGAAATTTTGAATTTTGTTTTTGAAGATGCGCTATTCAATTCTCCACAAAAGTGTATTCACTTTAATTTAAAATAGTAGAACTGAAATTTTGGATCGGTTAAATAGTGTGGTTATATGAATTGCATCTATACCCCGTCTGTTTTTATTACAACACTTTTTCTGACTTTTCCTATTATAAACAGGTCAGTATGAAACTAAGTTTTACCAATATGATCATATATCAATACTCTTTCAGAATAATTTGTTTCTGTTCAATAACGATTTTTGTTGGGTCTAATAACATAATCTGTTTCATATGTTACTGTAAAAATAGTTTTCCTAGCAATGTTTCGAGTCTTCTTCCAATTGAATCGTTTTGTTCAGTGTTTTTTGAGCATCCAGTAGAAAAAGAGATGCTTTTTCTTCAGAATACTATAAAATTGAACTTTGTTTGGCCATATATCACATTCTTACAAGGTTGTTTTTCTGAAACGAGATAATTGAGCAAGAGAATTTTGTGATTTTCAAAATTTAACCTCGTGAAAAATTCTGTCTAATGGAATCAATGCTTAATATATAGGCAGTCAACTGAGGTTATTAAGAGCTATCTGAAAGTCTACTAGATCTAAAAACAAAGCATTCGTTCGTATAGAAAAATATTATTTTTAAATAAGATAAATGCATTTTTGTAGAGAACTGAATGGCGCATCTTCAGAACTAAAATTCAAAATTTTATCCGCTCTATGAAATGAAATATATGAAAAACACCAATTGTCTGAAAACTTTTGGCACACTCAGTATGTGTCAATACTTTCGTAGGGCATTTAATAAGTTGTTAGCTAAGAAATCATTTTTACTTCTGAAGCACTTTAACATTGGTAGTCTTGTCACTTTTTGCAACTTGTGAAACTTATATTATTGTAATTGGTAATTTTTGCTATCTAATTATTCCTCCTTAGCCATACTACTGTTCAAAAACAAAAACGGTGCTTGAGTTTTCTCAATAGTTAAACTAATACACGGATAATAATACTTACCATAAATTCGATCGGAAAGACGTAAACAACGAAAAGCTTGCCGACAATTAGTATCCTTAATATAATTGAATGAAGTCAGCATGACTAAAGTGATTTGTCTATTGTGCCAGTTGGAACACGGTTTTCCATTAACTGGCAAATCAGTCCTATGCAAAAATAGACCATCGCCACATGAAAAATAAAGTGGATATCGATTAATACATTCTTCGCACTGAAATGTGATAAACTGACCATCAGCGAAATTTGTTAGAAACTGAGGTCGAAGGATGTTTTCTTTCTCTTCACAACCATCCAGATAGTCAGTACTTAAGTAGCTCTCTCATATAAATATCAGTGAAATACACCGACCACCATAATGACATCGATATTAAAGATCAGCACATGTTGTCATTTGTAATGTTTCACACCACTTTTATCTTCACCATTCATACAATCAGTTTTGTCATTACATATTTGGTGCCATAATGTCCGTATGGCGTTTCATAGAAGCTCGAATAATTTTATTAAATGAAAAAGATGAATCGTAAACAAATCACTACTGGCATTTTGAGCCAAACCATAGAGATGAACAGTTATAGAATAATTTTGAACTTCGAATATTCATTTCATACGGTTCGACAGCATCGATGGGTGCTGTCCAATTAAGAAGTTGTTCATCTGTTACACCTTGTTCTCTTATTTCATTAAAAGTAATTTTCTTCGCTATACTTTCATTCAATATATCACACATTTCTTCTTCTTTTTTCATCATTATCAAGTCGTGGACAATAGGGATCAAATTATTATTTTTAATTTTAAGACGAATAAATATCTAATGCGCCTTCAAAGACTTGAGCGTAGAGACAATCAAATGTCAGATATGAACTCTGGTGAACATCAGAGGAATATAGATAATATTGAGTATACACTACACTATGCAGAGCAAGAAATATCATAAAACATATAATCAGCATTCTTGCACGATTTGTATGAAAGATGATTATTGTCAAAACTTTTATATTCCAAGAATGAGCCGATCAACAAAAAGACATTTGTTCTTCTATTTTATGGAAATGCAAACTGAAAGAATATATTTTGTTTTCCTGTTCATTTTCTGTAACAATACGGCATAAAGGGTATTCACTAAGTTTTGACCGGCTTAATCAATAAATCTATTGATTAAGCCGGTCAAAATTTAGTGAACACCCTATACGGGGTTCCTGTTTCAATAAAATGAAAAATCACGATCCACAGATTAAGAGGCAGGGCGATGTTCTTTTACTTGCTAGTCACTTACGAGCAAAATTGATGAACAAAATAGTACCAAATAAAAATGTTTGTTTATCCTTTACTTTTTTTGTGAGAAAAGAATTATTGAATACTGAAGAAGATCATCACTTATCAAGCTTTTAAAAAAGCAATGCAATTCAATAATAGAACAGGATTCAATACGCATTTAAAATCAACTCTCTTTCGAATCCGATTTTATCATTCCAGTATAGTCAATTTGATGGTAGAGTCAAGCAGCACATAATTTGCAATACGGACTTTCACAGTTGACTTTCAGCAATATACATATAATTTCACGCTGCGTAAGTCCAAGGATAAGAACTTTCGGCTATTTTAAATGCATCGAACCTATTCTAATACGTTGAAAACTATTGGTACAATCATTACAAGAACTAATTATTTGTAGTAATGGCAATGCTAGTCAGTCTAACAACGTTATTTATTTGAGAATTTGTCATATCGGACTAAAAAAATTGATAATTACTTTGTGATGGTTTTTTTACGAGTAGTCATGTTAAAGATGAGTGATACTGGAGACAAATATTCAAAATAAGTCTGGAATATAACAAAAAAAGTTTTCTTGAGACAATAATCGATTCATTGTGCAAATAGCACCCTATCAAGTCGTTATAGTCGGTAAATGATGCAAAAATGTGAGTGATTATGCGATATTGATTCAGGATAAAAATACTCAAATTATTATTGATGAATTATTAATAAATGAAAGTGTACATGCTTCTGAAACTCTTCGTACATCATTTGATGATGAACATTCAATGACTGTTTTAGATGTAATAGAATCCAACGCAAAATATATTCAAATCAGAGATGGGCAGCTCCGACACCGGAGCGCCCGCTCCATGGGGCGGAGCAATTCCTCAGAACGGTGGAGCTGGAGCGGAGTCGGAGCGGAGCGCCTCGTGAATAAAATGGAGCTAGAGCGGAGTGAGAGAGACATTTTCTTTTCTAGCTCTGCCAGGCGCTCATTTTTCACTTTATTCTTCTGTAAACAAAGACAGAAGAATTAGTGAGATAAAAGTTCGTCAACGACTATCATTGCAGTGAATATGCCATTGTTACATTTTAATCAAGAACAATGCTTGAGACAATGACTAACGGTTCATTTAGTCGATTGTTCTACAGCTTATTTGACTGCGCTATTGTTAGTTTGAAAATATAAGAACACGACGCCGATGAAGAGAGAAAATTCAATATTATGAAGTGTATGAGGAGTAAGCGATGACAGAACAGAAAAAAATTCTCATTCCACTGAAAGTTGAATGAACAAACTTTTCTGTGGCAAAAACAATCATATAACCAATATTCATCGTTAACTGAGCAAGATGATGACTTCAATGAATGATCTCTTTATTCATACTGGCACCGGCTTACTACAAGAGTACTTTGTGCGCCGGTTACCTCTGATCTAGTTGAAAGGGTGGTTTCCTCGAGCGGCATACTCATGTGTCCTCATCACAGTCGTCTCCCTGAGAATATGCTCTCAATGCTTACTTTACTAAATTGCAATCGACATTTGCTGTAGTTCACTAGTCTATTTGACATTTTAAATAATCTTCATATTGTAATCAGGCTAAGTTAAATTTATCGAGAACTAATTAGTTTGTTTTGTCTATATTCTATAGGTATATATGTTGAAGTAAAACGTCAAATTTACTGCACATCATCAAACTTCAACAAAAACAGCAAAAAATTTTTCATTATAGCGGAGCGACTGTTAATGGCTAGAGCTGAAGCTGAGCTGGAGCGAGAATTGGTCAAAGTTGCCCGTCTCTAATAGTAATTACTATTTGATTTGGTTTTGATAACAGAACCGAATCAATTGAATCATAAAAACTCTCTTTGTAGATCTCGCAGATTAGAAAATAAATTATTTTCATCACAACAATTTGAAATTTTTGTTCTTTAACATTCTTCATTGAAACGTCAAAAAAAGATGAAATTCCGTGTTGGACAGTATTTTTATTGTTCTTTGATTCGATGCAGTTATGCTTGTTAAGAAATGACCTGATATTCTGTAAGCTTGTGAAAAACTGAACAACTTTCATTTCAAACATGTATTCGAATATCACTTCGTTTCGTAGTAAAATGCTAAACTTATAGCCTACTCTAAAAAATAGTTCCATTTTCTGGAATTCCGTGACGGTCGATATTTTTTGAATCACTCTCGTCCGTCTAAGGAAGAATC